ACAGAGAAGGAAATAGAAGTAGAGGCAGAAGAAGAATTATATTTGACTGCTGCTGTCTTTTAGTTAACTGTTAACGCTTCTGCAGTTAATCTGACTCATACTGATATCACTTGTGCAAACTGTACTCTAGATGTTACTGTTAACATTTCTGCCTTAGATGTTACTTAAACTGTCAATCTTAGGGTGAATGAAAAAAAAAAGCAAGCTACACAACTATTCTTCTGAAAACACCAGGACCAAACAAAATCAAAACATCTCCTCTCTAAGACTACCAAAAACAACCAAACAAAATCAGAACATCTCCTCTCTAAGACTACCAAAAACAATGTCTAAGAATTCAAGACAGTGTTCCAACTCCATATGTTTGCTCCAAGGGTCCATTTTAGAGAACAAAGAATAAGTTGTTTATCTACCTCTGGACTTTAGTCTGGTTTTCAGAACCTAAGTGTGTGCACATCCATTTCACAGATCTGATTTATCATTATGACTGTTGGTTCCTTGCCTCTCAGGCAGATGTACTCAGAAATCAAAGGACGATCCAATTAGTCGACTCTTATGAGATGCTTGTTGAAACGCAGCGAGTTTTTTTCCCCCCTCACAAAGAGACCCTGGAGCCCATACGGGAAAAAATCTACCTTTCATACAGAATTCTATGTTAATGGCAGGTATGTATGTTCAGTGTGTTTATTATCTTCTAATTCTTCAGCATTCCAAGCCCTTGAGGTTAACTCCTGCAGAAATTATCTGCTTTCATTGGTTTTTGGGACTGGCCCTCTCTTAACAGTTAGTGACTTCAAGCGTTTCTAGATCTGCTTGGATATTACCTCTCCGCCACGTTCTTAGTCTTCTCTGTGGTCTCCGTCCATTCAACACCCTGGTGTGTGCATAGTTTCACCTCTCTGTCAAATGTCATTCTCTCTATCTGCCCCAACCATATTATTTTGAGTTTAACAGATTATGAATTTCACTGTTGTTTATTTATCATGCTTCATTCCCTGCCATTTGCATTTCCCACAGGTGCAAAAATTTGTAATAACAACATCTGGTCTGGAATGTGCTGTTACACTTGTATTAAAAAAAAATTAAAAACAAAATAAAAACTTAAAAGAAAAGGTAAAAGGAAAAAAACAAAGAAGAGTTCCCATCAATGTACAGTGATACTGCAACTAAGAGCTGTCACATCAACTACAATTAATTTTCTACAATTATATGGGTGAGTACTGTGCCATCTATCACACTACATGTAATGAAAAGCTGCAAATGTTTACAGCAAACAATCGTAAGAAATGTGAAAATGGTGGAGGGTTGGGGAGGGGGGGGGGATTAGAGAATTATCTGACAGACAGTTATCAAAATTTCACTTCTTTAGACCTCAGTCGGGAGCAGAAATCATCAATTATTCACCAATATATTTTATCATCCGCTATTTTTGCACAGTTGATGCTTATGATGACATTATTTGTTGCTGAATGATTTCATCTTTTCAAGTGCATATTTCTGTTTTCTTCTGCCTTTCTTACATTGAATTTTCTTCCATGAGGGTTTTCTCTCTATTCCATCTCTTCTGATGATATGCCCTATATATTTCATTTAGCCTTTTCTTGTGGTTTTGACGGGTCATTAGCAACAGCTATGAATTTCACAAGGATTAAAAGCTGGAAACATTAAAACTGGGAGTTCAAGTACAAAAAATATAATAATAAATAATAATTATTTAAAAATTAAACAATATCGCTGAGGGCCCCAATCCTCCCCCCCCCCCCCCCCAAAAAAAAAAAAAACAAAGAGATGAATGAGGAAAGCTGGGGAAATAACAGTTTAGCTGACGGCCCACCCTCCACCCCCCCCCCCCCCCCCAAAAAAAAAGAAACAAAAAGATGAATGAGGAAGGCTGGGAAATAACAGTTTCAACCGTCTCTTGCTTAGTAATCTTGTTTTCACTTATGTTTTTTTTTATTAATAAGGGTTTGATAAAAGTATTTTTTCTTTGTGGTAAATGTGTTTTGACTGTCGAGTTTTCCAGCTGCTTTTTATCTTTTCGTGTCATTCATTACTTGGGCTTCCAGGATACATTTACTGTGTCTGTATCTTCTAATTAGAGTTAAATAATCACATCTCAAATTTCTCCATGGCTTCTGTTAGAAGTTAAGTTAAGGACCCTTTTCCGCACCTTTTCAGGCATATTGGAAATATAGAACTAGACCTATATTCTGTAGACCAAACAGCACTTGGTGGGTGATGTGGTCAGCATCACACCGTCTGCCTTTACTTCCCAAGACTGTACCTGGTACCCACTCAAGGCTGGGTCAACCTAGAAGCCAAGGTCATTTTTAAAGGAAAAAAATTGTGTCCCGTCAGGAACCGAACCGACCTTCTGATCCGCAGGCGAGCGTCTAGCAGCTAGACCACAGCAACTCCTCTTCTGTTAGAGGTCTCCTATTATACTATCAGGTATTAAGGTTCTATTTTGTTACATCTACGCCACTGCCGGTCCCAAGCCCAGATGAGAAAGGAGGAGGGTTAACAATTATTTGCTACAGAAAAGCACAGGGCAGAATGGAGTGAAGAAACAGACTGTGAGCTCTATGTGATATGTAATGGCACAAGGTCGGCGCTGTAGCTGAGTCGGTGCGAACGCTTCGTAATGCCGGGATCGATCCCAGCTGCGGGCCATGTGCCTTGCGTTGGTTTCGACAGTGGTATCAAGAAAACCGACCGTCCAAAACGCAATGGCAAACTACTAGACGTAAATTTGCCTAGAAAAAAAACACAATGGCCAGGGGCTGTTGGGGTTGGTTCTGCAATGTCCTGTAAAGGATACGCAACTAACCTTTTTAATGTCACAAGCGGGCATTGAATTAATAATGAATGAATAATTCTGTACCCTCAAAGCATTAGTGTGCAACATACCGTAGTACTATAACTATAGTGCTTGTTACACGACAATACGCCTGTACTGCTCTCCGCACTTTCTAGATAGCTACATCATTTCTGTTTCCACACTACAGTATTTCAGCACTTATGTGTTACAATACAGCATGTTTTGTTTATACTACACATTACACCACTTCTTTACATTACAACACTGCTACACTACTGCAACACTTCTGTGCAACACACAACAGTACTACTGTGTAACACTACAGCACTTGTTTTACACTACATAATTTATGTGCTACACTGAAGTACTTCTGTACTATACTACAGTACACTAAAGCACAAGTTTTATACTACAGCACTTGTTTTATATCACAGTACAAGTTTTACGCTACATCACTTCTGTGCTACACTGCAGCACTTGTTTTACATTACAGCACAAGGTTTATACTACAGCACTTGTTCTACATTAGAGCACTTGTTTTACATTACAGCACAAGGTTTAGACTACAGCACTTGTTCTACATTAGGGCACTTGTTTTACATTACAGCACAAGGTTTAGACTACAGCACTTGTTCTCCATTAGAGCACTTGTTTTGCATTTCTGCACTTCTATATTATACTACAGTACAATCGATTCTCTTGAAAAAAACTGCCAAAAAGTCTATACTTACACTGTCTTTTGTGCACATGCTAACATCAAGTACAGCACCTTGCACATGCTCTCACATAACTACATCAAAGTTTCTTCTTCTTCCATCTTTAATCTCACAAAGGATCACAGGTCTTCAATAAACTGACCCCGAGCCCTTTAGATTTATCACAGACTGGCTGGATTTTGCAACCAATTTTCTACAGAACTGGGTAGCTGGTCATAATCCAACCCTCCTCAGCTGCCCCTTAAGACATACTTGGTGTTAGCTTTATTATGAGCTAAGGTAACACAATGGTGTATATCAGTGTGCATATAAACTGTCTGCACACACACATCATCTATGCACTTATATATAGTGATGCCATATAAGTGAACTGACTTTAACTATGCGTATTTGTTTACCCATTGCCTGACACTATCACTGTGTACACATATGATATGTACACAAAAACACACAATCTTTGAGTACATGCTACCTTACAGTATATTTATGCCCACACACTGCTTATACACCTTATCTTCCAAACAAGTGCACACACTAGACAATTATTCTTCTTGACGCTAACCAGTTGTAAAATCTGGTGGAAAGTTCTGGCTGTTCATCCACTTGTGGACTTTGGTCTTGTTTCAGAACGTGTTTTCTGTGCAGATTCATTTGACAGATGTGGCGTTTCTGTACACAGACTGGTTTGTGTTCCATCTCTCAGGCGGAAACTCCCCTAATTAGTCAACTTCAACAACATACTTGTTGGGGGTGGGGGTAGTGGGTCTATTCTTCCCCCCACCCTTAAAATGGGGCCCTGGAACCCACATGGGCTACGTAAAATTTGAATAACATATAAACTAACAAAACAGACAACATGTATGAATTTGTAATAAATTATCAGCAGGTATCATCTGTATGAACAAGTGCCTCACTGTCTATACATATGCATATACTTGCTACATGTTCACAATACAAACAAGTACTCAATGCTGCCTACATATACACATATAAACTGTGAACAATTACTCAATGCTGCCTACATATACACATATAAACTGTAAACAAGTACTCAATACTATCTACATGTACAAATATAACCCGTGAACAAGTACTCAATACTATCTACATGTACAAATATAACCTGTGAACAAGCACTTAATACTGTCACACGTACACACTATCTGTAAACAAGTGCTCATGCTGCCTACATGTACACATAAAAACTGTGAACAAGTGCTTAATACTGTCACATGTACACACTATCTGTAAACAAGTGCTCATGCTGCCTACATGTACACATACAAACTGAACAAGTGCTTAATACTGTCACATGTACACACTATATGTAAACAAGTGCTCATGCTGCCTAAATGTACACATATAAACTGTGAACAAGCGCTTACATGACACAGATCATCATCAAACCTGTACTTACACTGCCTACATGCACAAATGAACACTGCCTACACATACACACTTACACTGAGAAAGTTTGGTTTGAAAAACTGTTTGTTCTTCCAAGCTAAAAAGTTGGCGGCTGGCTGGTGGCTCTGTAGGTCATTCCTCAGCTCTGTGGCACCCTGGGAGACGGCAGTAGGGGTTTCAGGTGTAAGAGAAGGTTTATCAGGATGCATTCACAAATCAGGTAAGGGTTAGCAATAACAGCAAAAAAGGAATTCATCAGCAGTAGGGTAACAGGAAGGGAGAAAACCCCAAAAACATATATGAATTAGTCTGTGCTTCATGCATAATAGAAAATATTAATTAGTTGTAATAACATAAATGTATCGTTGTTATAATGTTATTAACAAATTCTTTTGTTAAAATGGTATTAACACATTCTTAAATAGGTGGTAAAAGATACAGCAGGTTCAAGACACTTTTCACATGATTGGTGTGCTGGGTATATCGGGCCAGACTCATATATTTATAGACCTGTTGGTGTGGTCTGCATTATGCCAGCTGCCTTTACCTCTGAGGACACTACCTTGTACCTAGTTTAGGATGGGACAACCTGGGATGGTAGTTTTATAAAAATCTGACTTGAGGCAGATTTGACCCTACCATGGCTTCAATATATGGTGCTAGGTTCATAGTTATCATGTTTTATCTGTTGCTGTTCCAGCAATGTCTACATCAGAAGTTTTGTTTATTTTGTGTTAGTGTGTGTGTTTTGATGTAACTGAGGGCTTTACTGGGATTCCCAAACAGCTCTGATGAATGTTTATCTTTGTGGGCCAAAGTTTAGTCAACTACTAACAAAACATATAGCTGTTTGGTCAACTACTAACAAAACATATAGCTGTTTGGTCAACTACTAACAAAACATACAGCAGCCCTGAAAGAAATGTCTACTGTCTGTTCTGCCAATCCACATGGTGACAGGGGTGGTGGGTCCAAGACCTGCTGCATAAGTGACAGTTAGTCTGTCATGTTCTGATAGGGAACCGGACTGGTTGTTGTGCTCAATCAAGACAGTAACAGCAAGATTGGTGAAAGTGGGTGATGTTGCATTCATGAGGAAAGTGAACAGTCAGTTTACTGGAAGATAAATTGACATTATACTAGAAGATAAACTGCTACATTATAATGTAAAGTAAACACCATTATACTAGAAGATAAACTGTCATTATACTGGAAGGTAAAACAGCCATTATACTAGAAGAAAAACTGTCATCATAATAAAACAGCCATTATACTAGAAGATAAACTGTCATTATAATAGAAAGTAAACAGCCATTATACTAGAAGATAAACTGTCATTATAATGGAAGGTAAACAGCCATTATACTAGAAAATAAACTTCTAATGGAAGGTAAACAGCCATAATACTAGAAGATGAACTGCCATTATACTGGAAGGTAAACAGCCATTATACTAGAAGATAAACTGCCATTATATTGGAAGGTAAACAGCCATAATACTAGAAGATAAACTGTCATACTGGAAGGTAAACAGCCATTATACTAGAAGATGAACTGTCATACTGGAAGGTAAACAGCCTTTATACTAGAAGATAAACTTATACTGGAAGGTAAACAGCCTTTATACTAGAAGATGAACTGTCATTATATTGGAAGGTCAACAGCCACTATACTAGAAGGTAAACTGTCATTATAATGCAAAGCAGACAGCCATTATACTAGAAGATAAACTGTCATTATAATGGAAGGTAAACAGCCATTATAATGGAAGGTAAACAGCCATTATACAAGAAGATAAACTGCCATTATAATAGAAGGTAAACAGCCATTATACTAGAAGATAAACTGCCATATTATAATGGAAAGTAAACAGCCATTATACTAGAAGATAAACAGCCATTACACTGGAAGGTAAACAGCTATTATACTAAAAGATGAACTGTCATTATAATGGAAGGTAAACAGCCATTATGCAAGAAGATGAACTGTCATTATAATAGAAAGTAAACAGCCATTATACTAGAAGATAAACTGTCATTTTAATGGAAGGTAAACAGTCATTATACTAGAAGATGAACTGTCATTATAATGGAAAGTAAACAGCCATTATACTAGAAGATGAACTGTCATTATAATGGAAAGTAAACAGCTATTATACTAGAAGATAAACTGTCATTTTAATGGAAGGTAAACAGCCATCACACTAGAAGATAAACTGTCATTATAATAGAAAGTAAACAGCTATTATACAAGAAGATAGAGGACTATTACATCTGAGGGCAGCAGTTATTACATCTGAGGGCACCAGTCATTATATATAAAGGCAGCAGTCATTACATTTCAGGGCAGCAGTCATTAATTTCAGGGCAGCAATCATTACATTTGAGGACAGCAATCATTACTTTTGAGGACAAGAGCCATAATACGAATCAACTAACATCCATGCAAAGAACAACATGAAAACATCAACAATGCAGTGCATTCTGTTAGTCAACACAAATGCATTTCCAAAACAAAACGAAGCAAAATTAAAACTAAACTACAATCCTTATTCTGTACAGGGTCTCCTCCCCTTACGATCACGTACCGTTCCGACTAACAGGTCATCAGTCGAATTTATATTTTTCAGCACTATTTTCATTTTAAATGTTTTTTTTAATTTGCACACAAATTCGATCTATGTAGACATAGTTATTGTACACAGGCATCTATGTACACTCCAGGCATCTGTTCCTTTAACCTTTTGACTCAACCAATGTAGTTATCTATCTTTATTCAATATTTTTAATTATTTATTTTGGTTGTTGTTGTTGTAAGTGGGGATGATCTAAGTGGCAAAGGTTCTAAGTCCAGGAGGAGATGTACAAACAAACATACTAAACAAGTAAGAAGCTCTTCTGGCACACAAAGCATACTGTTAGGCCTGCAACTTGTACACCCACTGGGCCATATCACACTCCCTCTAAAAAATCTTGCATATCCATGTAAGGCAAAAGCTCCACGCCCACAGTTCATTAAAAAACATTCCTCTAGTTCTGTAGATGTGTTTGTAAACTCGTAAATATAATGCTCTTCTTTTAAAACCTCAGGCAATGTTAATGATATACATTTTTATGATTCATCAATCAGGTGCCGTCTCCACAATGAAGGTTGGCTGTAATGGATCTCCAACAAGCCCTGTCTCTTGCCCTTGATGTACACTCCCTCATACTGCTGTTCGTCCATCACTTGATGTCAAGTGAAATATTTTGGCCACATTAAAAGACATAACAGTATTGTAAAGATCATCCTAGAGGGAAAGGTTCAAGGTAGGCGAGCAAAAGGCAGACAGCGTTACAACTCTCTTTTCATTCCCAATTTCCTCAGTACCTCTGTATTTGAAAGCTTTTGTATTTTTATGATTACAAATCTATAAATTTTACAGTTTACAACTGCCTGAGGACTACAGGACATTCTGACATTATAGTCATAGGTTGCAATGTACACATTTTTCTTACTGACAGGACAATTTAAAACGCTAGTGTTAATCAAGTTTAAAACTGCACTAGAACATTATCTACACCATGTCGTATTTATACAACTATTGTTACATTTAAAATCTGTAGTTTAAAACTAGGAGAACTTTACTGACACTCCTTTATTTGGTAGTTAACCATTCATAGCAATGCAAAAATACCGTTTAACACAATTAGCCTTTCAAATAAATTTAGTTTATGAACAAAGCATTCAGAAATAACAAGATATTTAACAAAATTAAAATAAGCCAACAACCTCAACCAATTCCAACAAAAACCAGATTATAAAGTCAAAAGCCAAATGGAAAAGAAAAGTACAGCGCTAACAATTCAGCAGCACATTTTCCACTTACGCTGAAAGAATTTGATTTTTGGACGGAGGATGATTTTTTGTTTTTGCGCAAGGCAAGCGGAGTGCAACTCACTGTTTCCTCAGGATGCAGCCTATCATAAGCCTAGATGAGATAACACAAAAAAAGGAAAACCACCAAACAAACAAACCAAATGCAAGCAGCAAAAAGCATGCATAAAATTAAATGAACAAAAGAACTTTCTGGTTGACACCGCAAGCCAAAATTACTAACCAAAATCTGATCAGGTCCAAATGTATGTGGCTTACAATATGCCCAGCTGGCAGGTGCATGTAAAGATGCAAATACACTTACAGGAGGTAAAGACACTCTTAAAACAATCTGTGAAAACAAAATGCAAAGAAGACAACAATAATTATGGACCAGAGCATGACAGTGTAGGAAAACACAGACCTGAAGGTTCAGACTCAGAACAGGACACTGTAAACTCACAGCACACCTACATAGACATGAGGTTCATTGACTGACCACAGAGTGCTGGTTGGTGCACTAAAGCCAACACTAGAACATGTGTGTAACAGATTGCCAGTCAAAGGGAAGAAATCTGGTCAACAAGATCAACCCTGATAAGTAAAACAACAGGACACCTGTGAAGATCTCAAACAAACTGTCCTGGCTGTGACCCATGCTAGAATAAACATAGAAAGATGACTGAAGGAGGAGGAGGAGGAGAAAGAAGAAGAAGGTGTGAATTTCCATACAAAGTGTGAACACATTTTCCCGACTATCAAGGTGAAAACACTGACAGTGATTTTTGTCTTCTCTGTAGTAACCAGCAATTCTAATAAGGACATATTGCATGCCAGGCCACTGAACAAATTGCAAGCCAAAAGGTAACTGCTGGTCTATTCACAGTGGTTTTCCTTTATACAAGGAAACCAGCAGAATCATGAGTGGCCAAAAAAAGCCTAAATACAGCCCAGATCTGATCAAATGTACTATAGTGCAACCAAAATTAAAGCATAAAACAAATGTGGCATTGTAACTAAAAACATCAACCAAAGTGGCACAAGAATTAAATACGTAAGTCAGCATTAGATTTTTTTTTTTTAAAGAGTGAAACTGGCATGTTAGTTATACTGTGATCCAAAAACTAGGCTATAATGCCCCACCCTGTGACAGCCACCAGAAATTGGACAGAAATAATTGTTTCATTTCACTTCTGGGATAAAGAGGACTTATATTATATATATAGTTCATTCTAGTGCCACTTTTTCAATTGAATTAACAACAAAAGTGAAAAGAGCCACAAACAACAAATAAGAAACAACAACCCAATAGATGGGAACATGTACAGTGCTCACAATTAGCACATGTAACAACAGACTAGCAGAATTACACAACCTTGGACTATTTTTTAAGAAATAAATAAACGTGTTGGCTAACTATCTGGAGTGGGTCCGTGAAGACAGACAGACAGACAGACAGACAGACAGACAGACAGACAGACAGACAGACAGACAGACAGACAGACAGACAGACAGACAGACAGACAGACAGACAGACAGACAGACAGACAGACAGACAGACAGACAGACAGGGAGGGGGAGAGAGAGAGACAGAGAATACAGACTACTGATCTGGGAGGATCAGACCTGAAGGAAAGAAATGGTATAAGGATGGGAAGAGAAAAAGGAAGAAAGAGTGTGTAGGATGAGATTTTAAAACAGAACAATGTTGGTCAGTCAGCTTATCCTGCAGAAGACTTGAGTTTTAACTCTTTAATTTCTGGTGCTCAAGTCATCTGAGTCTAAACACATGTGGATCTATGCAGGAGAGTTTTTAATACTTCTGGTGCTCAAGTCATCTGAGTCTAAATACATGTGGTCAGTCAGCTGATCCTGCAGAAGACTTGAGTTTTAACTCTTAAACTTCTGGTGCTCAAGTCATCTGAGTCTAAATACATGTGGTCAGTCAGCTGATCCTGCAGAAGACTTGAGTTTTAACTCTTTAACTTCTGGTGCTCATCTGAGTCTTACTGTCCATACAGAAGAGAGTTTTAACTCTTTAAAACAGAAAAACAAACATGGGAGGTGATGGTGGATAGCGACCAGAAAACAGAATGAGAACATAATGTCTGGGAAATAGAGAGAATGAGCAAACAGTGATAGGGCGAGAGAGACAGAGAGCGAGAGAGACTGGGTTAACTTGAGATGGGGATATAGACAGCCAGACAAATGGTAACGGGAGAAGCACTGACGGAGCCTACTGTAGTCAGATATCAATGATTCATGGTGAGAATGTTAGGTCAGATGAAAGAAACATGTTGCCATGAACACAATGTGCATAAGAATGAACACCAAAACACAACCACAAGATAACACAACAACTACATCCAGGGACTGACACTGTGAAAATGATCACAGCCCACACACACATCTAAGAATTCAGCTCATGAAAGACCTCGTTATCACAGTCAACAGAAACACTGGGTTAGTTTCGGTTTTAGAATCACCACATGACTTTGTTTGTTTCATTAATGTGCAGGCAGGCAGGTTGTTAGTTTTAGGGACTTCAAAATGCAAGGAAGTAACAGTAAAGAATTCAGATAACATTTCTGGGCCTATGCCTTATATAACGGCTTGGTATACAAGCAGTTTCATATTCTCAAGTACCAGGGTTTGACTTCGGCACTACACAATTCCCCCCCCCCCCCTTTTCCACCCTTTTTTTTTTTAATGTTCTCAGGGCTTTCAGGAGAGCAGTATAAAAGTCTCAATGAGAAACTGACCCATGATCTTCCATGCCACGATATCAAACTATCCAGGTTCTCACTCTTTCTTGGTCTCTCTCTGCCACTATTCCCCTCTAACTTTCTCAGTGTCACGATGTACTCCAAGTTTTCCCTTTCTCATCATATGACCAAAGAATGCAGATTGTCTCCTCCTGATGGAAGCAATCAGTTCTCTTTGTGAGCCAATTAGGCAGTAAATTAGCTATTTAAAAATGAAGTTATATTAATGTTCCACTGTAGAAAACACAGTTACATCAAATTGGGGCCATGCTCAGGCCTAGATTGGTACTGTTTGCCTCCATTGCTGTTAAGCTTTTTATTACCCAGAGGGAGCCTATTATTGTTAAAAGTATTACAAATTGGCCCCATAACACACACACACACACACAGGAAATTATATTACTAAGTTACATAGTTTGTTTAACACATCAGACAACACGGATATTTCAATGCAAATAAAGATTAATTTCCACAACAACAACAATTTCAAATATTTGTCTCAACAAAGCTGTAGCACACTGTGACAGAAACATCAGGGACACGAACACCAAAGTTAAATAAACATTCCTTTTTCTGCTGACCCAGAACACTAGAACCCTTCTGATCTCTAACACCCCATGGAGCATAGGCCCTCAACCACATAAACATTTAGCTTTAATAACCTATTAGATTAAAACAATACACAAACAATGTGGCTTCAAATTAACATATATGAATTAAAAACAAGTTTTTTCAACCAAAAATAAAACCTATGCAATTTTTTAAAAAAAAGTGACTTGCAAAGATATCCAGAAAAATCCCCAGAAATAATAACAGTTGGAAGCAAAGTGGGAATATAACTGTTATATTGTAAGAAATTACTTTTGCTGGCACTACACCGTTTCTTATGAGCAAGGACCCAAATTTTGCAACCATGGAACCTTTGGGGATCTGTGGACAGGTTGGTTTGTGTTGAGCTAAATGAGCTATGTATGTTTGTAGTGTTCACATATGATGAGCCACTCACTAAAACATTCAAACATGAATTCAAAACAAGACACATATGCTGCCATCAATTCAGTATCTCCACATGCTGTTAGACAGCAACTTAACCAACAGGTACATGTTATCACTGTATGGACTTCAAGAATGGGATGGTGGGGAAGAAAGGGGGAAGGGGAGGGGGGTTGTGATTAATTAATGTGCCGTGCCATGATTAAGCATCCAAGGATGTATAATGAGTCTCTAATTTGGCTGTTTTTTGTTTTTAAATGTTTCTGCTAACATTGGTTTTTCAATTTTTTAAATAATCAGATTGTTACTTGTGGCACTGGAATTGGAACTCTTGGCTTGCTCCTGAAGATGGGGACAGTGTAAAGGTGCTGGAATGTTTATTCTTAATTCAACATTCAATGTTTCTATAAATCATGTCGATCATTAGAATCTGGAGGCCACTAAAGACCATTCACAAAGCAATGGCAAACTACAGAATGTACAATTATCTAGTACAACCATAAATAACCAACAAACGCTGGGGTTGGTTTGCAATGTCCTGCAAAGGATAAGCAACTATCTTTCTAATTGGCCTCACTGTATGATAACACTGGGCTCCCATGCAGGGGACGCGAGTTTGAATTCTCCGTAAGGTTTTTTTTTTCTGTCAGGGGCACACACACACACAAAAATCTTCACCTGCCAGTTAGTGACGACAGCACTAGCCATGTGGCCCTAAACACTCAGACTCAAAGACCTCCCCCCCCCCCCCTCCCAACTGCAAAAGTGGTATAATAAAGGCAATAATTGCCAGGGTTGGGGGGGGGGGGGGAAGAGAGTGTTAATACTAGTGAGCCTAACCCATAAGCCACTGACTATTGCAAGAAAGAACTAACACAGCTGGCTTCAAAGTATATTGCAGTTTAAGTAGCTAACTTGATGTTGTGGTAGTGTGTCTAACTTGCTTCACAACGAGGCAGTGTAAGCACTAACTGGTCAACACACTGGTTCGCTTACTCAATGATTGGAAATCTCCAGAAACAAATATCATAGGGCAATCATTGACCAGCAAGTTCTTTCATCTACACAGAAATGTACTCAAATCTTGGCAAATGAAGTTACTGGCACATTTTCGAATTCCCAGATAATAGGGTGAACAATACTGTTTACATCATTACATGAAAAGACCACAGCATAATTCTGGATAATTATAAAGGAGTAGATCATAATGCTACTTAAGCCCTCTGGTGTTTCTGGATTGAATTCATTGCCTTATGAAGTGGCATGTGTTGAACTAAGAAAGCCAAATGCTGGAACTACTAGGACATGACACTTACCTGGGCATCGATTTGATCCTGCAGTTGGGTTATGGGTTGCGGAGGTGGGTTGGATGGCACCTGCGGCGGTTGCTGTGTGGGTGGGACTAAGATGATTGGCTGGGTCATGTGATGCTGCTTGTCCTTCTTCTTCTCAGATTTTTCCAGCTTGACCTCTCGACCTTCCTTTTCCTTTGGCGGTGGAGGAGGTGGCTATGTGGGGTGATAGGTACACATCAGTGATCATGTTTAAATGTTGACAAGAACTCACCGGCCAAGTACATAAACTGTACACAGAAATGGTTATTCTCTGTGATAACTGAGTGGCTAGGTACATAAACTTTACACAGAAATGGTTATTCTCTGTGATAACTGAGTGGCTAGGTACATAAACTGTACACAGAAATGGTTATTCTCTGTGATAACTGAGTATCTAGGTACAAAAACTTTACACAGAAATGGTTATTCTCTGTGATAACTGAGTGGCTAGGTACATAAACTTTACACAGAAATGGTTATTCTCTGTGAGAACTGAGTATCTAGGTACATAAACTTTACACAGAAATGGTTATTCTCTGTGAGAACTGAGTATCTAGGTACATAAACTTTACACAGAAGTGGTTATTCTCTGTGATAACTGAGAGGGTAGTCACATAAACTTGACACAGAAATGTGTTATCCTCTGTGATAACTGAGTAGCTAGGTACATAAACTTTACACAGAAATGGTTATTCTCTGTGATAACTGAGAGGCTAGTCACATAAACTTTACACAAAAATGTGTTATTCTCTGTGACAACTGAGTGGCTAGGTACATAAACTTGACACAGAAGTGGTTATTCTCTGTGATAACTGAGAGGCTAGTCACATAAACTTTACACAAAAATGTGTTATTCTCTGTGATAACTGATTGGCTAGGTACATAAACTTTACACAGAAGTGGTTATTCTCTATGATAACTGAGAGGCTAGTCACATAAACGTTACACAAAAATGTGTTATCCTCTGTGATAACTGAGTGGCTAGGTACATAAACTTTACACAGAAGTGGTTATTCTCTATGATAACTGAGAGGCTAGTCACATAAACTTTACACACAAATTTATTATCCTCTGTGATAACTGAGTGGCTAGGTGCAAAAACTTTACACAGAAAATGTATCCTTTGTGATAACTGAAAGATTAGCTTCAAAGACTTTACACAGAATTGGTTATTCTGAAATCAAGAGATGAATCAACAGCAGTCTGAAAGTGTAACAACCAACACAAGATACAGCAAGTGCTGGAGATCCATAGCAGCCAAACCTTCGTTGTGGAGACAGCACCCGAGTTGAGCCACTGATAACAACTTTACACATATCAGATTCTCTTTCATGTTACTAGCAACAATTTGATTAGTATTTTAACTTTACACACAGATGTGAGAAACTGGAAAGCCCTTTGCACCTCATTCAAGAAAGGACACGGGTGAGAAATATTGTCTGGATTTTTTCACCGAGTCACGCCGGTGTGTTGGGAAATGAACAGGCGGACAGACTAGACTGGCTGGCTCTGCACAACGTGGTGGAAAACATGATAAGGCAGATGTGGTTGGTGCCTTGTGGGAGAGCGTGTACAGTTCGGAGGAGCAGATGGATCACCACAGTCTGGTGAGACTGATGCAGGGGGGAGTGAAGAGAGGTTCTGGCAGATGCTCGAGGCTCAGTGGAAAGGCAAGATGGGCGTTTAATCAGAATCACCATTAGTATCGGAACTCTTCGCTGGCTGCTGAAGATGGGCACGGAGCACATGTGGGAATGCCCCGAGTGCTGTGATGTCGGTTCTTGAATCAAATCAAATCAATCAATCAAGAGAGATTTCACCACAACTTAATTGTTAATACACCATCTGTTTGTGACAGCAGACAGCAAGAACATGAAGTTATTTTGAAATGACCAAGAAATGTATAGGGAGGGATTGCTTGGTAGCAAAAGAGTTAAATGACCAAGAAATGTATAGGGAGGGATTGCTTGGTAGCAAAAGAGTTAAATGACCAAGAAATGTATAGGGAGGGATTGCTTGGTAGCAAAGGAGTTAAATGACCAAGAAATGTATAGGGAGGGATTGCTTGGTAGCAAAAGAGTTAAATGACCAAGAAATGTATAGGGAGGGATTGCTTGGTAGCAAAGGAGTTAAATGACCAAGAAATGTATAGGGAGGGATTGCTTGGTAGCAAAAGAGTTAAATGACCAAGAAATGTATAGGGAGGGATTGCTTGGTAGCAAAAGAGTTAAATGACCAAGAAATGTATAGGGAGGGACTGCTTGGTAGCAAAAGAGTTAAAAGTTAAAGATGAGAGGACTGACTTTAACACAGTGGGGTTCATCATATATAGCTCGGTTTCTCTCCACTTAATGGCTAGCAACATGCAGACAGCACTATACAAAGCATGAACTTGGTGTCTCTGGGGATGATCCCTGGGGGTATCTGTAAAAAATTTATTCAAGAACTGAATGGTGCCACCCTGAAATGAACATACAACCTTTGGATCATGAGGCAAACGGTTTGACTACCTTGCCCCCCCCCCCTTTCCCCTACCTAAAATAGCAACAAACATACCATCACAAACATGTAAACACAAACACTAGCTGACAGGTAATCAAATGAAATCTGGCTACTGTTCTTACACTGGCCCGAGAGTGACCAGTGGTCACCAGGGTCCCAGAACTGCTGGTGGAGTGGCTGCTCACACTGTGGGTGTCGCTGGGCTTGCTGCCGCTGGTCTGGGAGACATAGAAAGACCTCTGCGAGTGGTTGGGGGTTGAGGGCACTGCTGCAGATACTCCCGACGGGGTGCTGGGGTAACGCATCTGAACAATCCGCTGGCATGCTGTTAAGGGATCAACAGAAAAAAATCTTGGTCATAGAAATTTTTCATGAATGTAAATGCAAATAAGTGTTGGTATTCATTAGTGTCTTTCCTTCAATCAATAATAAGATAACCAATCAGTCAATCCATCAAGTAACTAAGCAACCAAACAATGAATCAACTAACCAACCAACCATTAAGTCAATCCATCAATTATGAAACAAACTAATCAGTCAATCCATCAATTAACAAAAAATCAACCAATGAGTAAATCCATCAATTATTAAATTAATCAGTCAATCCACCAATTAGCCAATCCATCAATTAACCAACAAGTCAATCCACCATTACCCAATCAGTCAATCCATCAAGCAAGCAAACAATCAATCCACCAATTAACCAATCCATCATCAACCAGTCAATCCACCAAGCAACCAAACAATCAATCCATCAATTAGCCAATCAATCAATTAACCAGCAAGTCAATCCATCATTAACCATTCAGTCAATCCACCAAGCCACCCAATAATTAATCCACCAGTTAAAAAACAATCAATTGACAAGCAAGTCAATCCATCATAAACCAATAAGTCAATACACCAAGTAGCCAAGCAACCAAACAATCAATCCATCAATTATTCAACCAACCAATAAGTCAATCCATCAATTACCCAAAACACCAACCAATAAGTCAATCCATCATTAATAAATCAATGAATCCATCAATTACCAAATTAATTAACTTGCCAATCAATCATTTATCTCAGAAGTTGATCCATCCATTAGCCATTCAATCCATCAATCAATCAATTAATTACCCACTGATTCAACCAATTAAATGCCATCACAACAAAATGAGTGGATTTCCAAACTTTGCTCATTTTAGAGTTATATACTCTAGTCTTCCCACTTGTAGAGATGTTTCCCTGTTATCTAACAGCCTTTAACTCTTATTTTCTCACATGGGTTTCACAAATGATATCTTCAAATGTGGTCACAATATTTCATGTCATCTAAAAAAAAAAAAAATTATAGTTCTCTTTCTATTCCTAATTGGGAACTTTACATTCGTTGCTTGTCTTCCTTAGAATATAAAGCAGATGCAAACTGACGGAGTGTTTCTCAAACATTCACAAACTATTTTGATCAGACAAATTTTGCTGCACCTCCTTATTCTCCACTTCACCTGATTCTATAACAATATGTAAAAATTCAAGATATTCAACAGTGAGGGAGCAACACAGGGGAATTTTCAATCAGGCTGCAACTGGTACTATGAGCCTCTCGGGTCTTCGTTGGCCTGCTGAAATAGGGGACAGAGCACATGTGGGAATGTCCTCAGTGCAGTGATGTCATTTCTTAATTCATTCATATTCTTCTTGTGTCAATATCTGCTTATGCCGCTAGGCATCGCAGTTGATCAGACGATCAACAGCCTAGCCAGGGAGCGCTCAGCCGCTTGATATGCTGTGAGGATATACAGTCTCAAGGTGTCAGTGACTCCTTCAATCCATCTTCTTCTTGGTCTTCCCCTGCCTCTTGGTGTTCTGATTTTCATTTTGCACACTCTTGCTGCTGGCAAAGTTGGTTTCATTCTCATTAGATGGCCAAACCATTTCATTCTTTGTTTCTCAATAAATTTGACGATGGGTGGTGTTCCAACAGTTCTTGTTATCACGTCATTTCTTACTATCTCTTCTGGTTTTATTCACAGCAATTCTCATTCATCTCATTCATTCATTTGTGTAATAATTTTAAAAAAAAAACAATATGAAAATATATGTCTGCTAGTCCAGTTATTTTTACATGATCGACTTTCACCTTTTGTGTGTTACTCAGTCATCATTTTTTTCCTTGTCGACTGACCATGTCCGACCTAAAATGTTAAGGTTATAACTGGGGTTTTTGACCTTGTTTCTTACTGGTCAGTTTTGCATGAATTTTTTGCTGATTTCCCATTATTGGTTCTGTCTGTTGCCGGGTGTTACAGAGGTGAGGTCGTGAACTCTGGCCCTGTGAGTTATCCCCCATATGTGTTTGTCTTTTGCCTTAAAGTTTTTTGCAGGCACATTCCTGGCTAAAAATTCCTCATCATCATGTAAGAGGCCCTTTAAAGATCATCACTTACAATGACCTGCCAAAATGCCTTTCACTGCCAATTTTGCCATGTAAGGTATTTCCAGCTGGCATTAAATATCCACTTTCGTGCTGGCCGAACTTGCCTTGCCTCTTGTCTTTGGATCCAAGTTTTATATTACTTTTTCTTCCTGACCACTGTGGTGTCTGATATGGGCAAAGTATTTCAGTTTCCCAGACATTCTGGTTATTAAACAGTTTTCTTTTGTGTTCAGCAACTGTTCTTTTCTTCGTGACATATTTGACGTATGGTATTCTATAATAATCTCTTAACATTAAATTTTGACAGCCTTGTTACATTTCAGTTCAACCATGCTTTTCTTTTCCAGCAATTGCAAAAATGCCTACCGCTCACTTGGGTGTGCTGCCATAGAAAAGATGTACATTCTCTAAATTGTTAATTTACATTCGATTGAACAAAAATTATTGACACTACTGTGTGTATGTACCACTTTTTAGGACGGTGTAGAGAGGGGGTCGTAAGCCTGCGGATTTGAAGCAGCACAGCTAGTGCTGTCACTGTACAGGTTAGGATGTTTAATTCTGCCCTCGACAAAAAACGCCATAATCTTATTTTGAGTCGAACCCGGGTCTCCGGAGTGAGAGTCCGACATTGTAACCACTCAGCCAGCCGTTCCTCCATATTATGTTCCCCCCCCCCCCCCCCCCCCCACCACACACAAAACTACTTATGTTGCACAAACAAACAAAAACAACAAAAGTTTTTTAAATATAAGGATCAAATTTAACTCACGTCCTGAAAAAAAAAATCTCTGCTTAGGTTGCAGAAACAAACAACAAAAATATTTGAAATAAAAAGAACCAAATGTAACTCACCGTCCTGAAAAACTCTCTCTACATTCAACCCATAAGTAGCACAGGTTTCATAATATGAGCATCGCTTCAAATCATTGGCCAGTTTCCTGGCCCGTGTGTCATCAATTATCCGTGGGTTGCTCTCACTAATGGCATCTGTCGAAGACAAGACATTGACAAATATTGCTAAAGCACCACCACAACATGCACCACTGAACCCGTACTCAAATAGCTCCCAGGCGCAAAGTGCCAGCTGGACACACATAATTTCAATCAATCAATCAATCAATCAATCAATCTGCTGATTAGCATTCACTTGATGTAAACGGCAGAAAGTTCTGGTAGTTCATTCAGTTCCGGACTTTAGTCTCGTTCCAGAACTGAGTTCTGCGTACACGTCCATGTCACGGAACTACCTTATTTGTATGCAGACTGTTGGTTCCTTGCCTCAGGCGGATGCACTCCGACTTGGAGTGAAATATCCCTAAGTAGTTGCCTTGTACGACATGCTTATTTGGGTGGGGGGGGGGGGGCTGTTTGTCTATACTCTCCCCCCCCCCCTCCCCCCACATGTCGACCATGAAGGTAAGCTGCTATGAATCTCAAACAAACTCTTGTCTCTTCTCACTTGTACACTCTCAGAGAATGCTACTATTTCCTCTCTTGATGTCATCTTCCCAAGTGTATTACTGTCTACTTCTTGTTTTAAACTTTTCCATTTATTATGAATTTTATAAAAATGTTTTTTTTTTCTGCTTCTGTCGTACCACTGTTACTGGGTCATAGCCCACTATTGTGATTTTCTGTATTTGTTCTGCATTTCTCTGGTTTTATTTACCCTTTTTTTTTTTCAGTATTCAGCTATGCTGTCTATACTCAATTCCTTCGTTGTCCCTGTCGTCTTCTACCTAAAAGTTCTGCTATAGATGGTTTTATTTACAGTTTGCCCTGGCTACATTCTTATTAGATAGCCAAACGAGTTCATTTTTGTGTGTCTTTCACTGTAATCCAGGCGCAGTTTCTTCCAACACTTTCTTTAATGCTAATATTGCGGCTTTGTCCTTTCTTGTTTTGTTGGCAACCTTTCAGAGGCAGAGCATTTCACGGGTGGTTATTTTATGTTCCTGTAATCTAACTGTCGATGTTTGCCACTGATAGCTGGGGTGAAGATGCTTTAATCAAGCCACACCCACACATGTGCATATCCAAACAACAATAACCACTCAGACATGCTCATACACAAACAAAAGTATCTTCCATGGATTTAGGTTCATCATCCAAATCTATAGCTTTCTCGCTTATCCAACAAACCTGCCTCAATAAACAAGGCTTGATAGCCCAGCAAGCTGGATCTGCAGTAAAGTCAAGGATAATTTACTGGCAAAGTGTGTAATCTTTCTACCTAAAATAGCTCCACACAAAAGGGTGTATCTTGTAGGCAGTGTTGGATGATGGGATGAATTCAAGACAGGTAAAGAAATAAGAGAAACGTCCGGACAGCCACTGGCATCAACAGTTATAGGACAAATAAGATGACAATATACTGAATAAATCCTGAGAAGAAGCAAACTAAGAATAGCCAAATACACACTGAAATGGGAAACAAATGGATTAAGGGAGCAAGGACGTCCAAGAGAAACAGATGCTGATGATAAAGGCCAAAGGTACTTGACTGAATTCCGATCACCCCCGTGTGGGTTCCTCAACCCCACAGTGGGAAAAACAAGAATAGACCCACTGCCACTCCAGTAAGCATGTCATAGAGGTCAACTAATTGGTGGCATCCTTCGAAGTGAGATTATATTGACCTGAGAGGAGAGGAACCAAATAGTCAGCAGCAAAAAAAAGCCAGGTCTGTAAAACAGATGTGCACACAAAATTCAGGTTCTGAAACAAGAAGTCCAGAAGTTGATGAGCAACCAGAACTTTCCGCCAGAGTTTACCAGCCGGTGAACACAAAGAAGAAGAAAGTTATAGATTAAGTCAGAGACCATTTCACAATTGCTAAGAAAACTGGGGCTAAAGGGTTAAAGAACAATTCTTAAAATACCTAGATCAAAAAGAAGACACAGAGACATTCTATAAAACCAGAACATCTTCTTCTTCTTCTTCTTTTTCAGCATTCTGAGCCCTTGAGGTTCATTACTGCAGATATCACCCGCCTCCAGGTTGGCCTTTTTTCCCCAGTTGGTGACACCAAGTGTTTGCAGGTCTGTCTGGACGTTATCTCTCCATCGTCTTCTTGGTCTGCCTCGTGGTCTACAACCATTCATTCCCTCGTGTATACAGTTTCTACTTCTCTGTCGTCTGACATTTTCAATATGCCCCAACCATTTCAGTCTATTAGCTCTCATGATGCAGTTATCAGTGGTGATTTGAACAGGTTATAAATTTCGTTGTTGCTTCTCACTCTCCATTCACCGCATCTTTGATGGGTCCAAAGATTCGTCGTTACATTCTGATTTCGAAAACCTGTAATAAGGCTTTATCTCTTTGAGCTGTGCTCCAAGTTTCAGAGCCATATAAAACGACCGGTCTTATCAACGTTTGATATATTTTGATCTTGGTGTTGCGAGACAGACACTTTGACTTTAGCAATGTTAAAGGGCATAGTATACTTTTTTTCCAGATTGTATTTCTTCTCTCAGCATGTTGAAGCAGTTAAAGTTTAAAAACCTGAACTTAAAAAAAAAAAAAAACTTGTCAATTAACAGCAACTAATTTACTTCAGGTGTATGAACTCTTTTAGCACCAGGAGGTTTGAGCACAATTTTCTTCAGTTCTTCAGTTAAAAGATGCCCATGAAATCAGGCTGTGGCACATGGTAGATTTTATAAGAAATTAAAGATGCTGTCACTAGTATAGCAGTTATAAATTAAAGGACCCTTTTCTCACTTTAGATGCACAGCTTAGAGTGCTAGACCAAAACTTGTCTACACCAGTCTGCACTCAATGGATGAGGTGGTCAACACTGTGCAGGCCGCCTTTACTTACCAGGACATTATCTGATACCCACTGTCGGCTGGGTCAAACTTGCAGAGAAGGTCAGTTTTGACAAACAAAATACGCCTAGGTGTGGATTTGAATCCTTGACCGTTTAACAGGCAAGATTTCTTTCCTATATTTTAACCAAGCATAAATAGTAAGACATTCAACGAGATGTTGAGGACACCCTAGGCAGCGGCAGGTACATATCATAAATTATTTGGGAATAGAGGAGTCAGACATCACAATAATTTAAAAATAACAGTAATTTAGTTCCTTGAGAAAATGGTGAGGGCTGGTAGGTGAACAGACTTTGTCCCAGAGTATGCAGGTGTTGTTGGTAATGAAAGAGCCAACAGACGGGCCAGTTCTGTCTTAATAGCAGACAACCTGCCTATGGATCGCACTGTCATTGTTAATGCTCTCAGAGAGATGACTGCAGAACTTGGGGAGCATGTTGTCCGCATCACTCTTAAGAATGTGAGAATAGGAGGTAAAGATCTGCACAGCCATGCATGAGAGGGTTACCGGACATACAAGAAGTCTTGTCAACCAGCCTAGGACTTGCATTTTTTACCACCGGACGCTGGTGTATATGTTGAAAGGGGAAATCTGAGCACCTATGGGCGTGTCTGGGGTGCCACGAAGATAACCGTCATCTTAATTCAAAAGTGAGCTGAAGAAATTACAGATGTCTTTGGCATGTAAATTCATGAAACAGGGAAAACGTGAGAGGCCAAAATATTTTCTGGCAGACTGAGACTGAAGATATCTTATGCAACGGATCTACCACATGGTGATGGTTATGGTCACAAAGTGAAGCAGGGATCACTGGAAAATGTGTACCAGAGAGTACAAACCAATGGAGAGGGAAAAGAATGCCCATCTCAAGTGAGATTTGAACACACGACCATCGAGTCAATATGCAAGCATGCTAACCACTGTGCTAGCGCCTACAATGATACATGGAAATATACAGACTTTGCAACAACAACAAAATACTCGACCAGATTTGCCCCGGCTGGTTCAGGGGCCCCATCTGGGGGCAGGGTGTTATAGGCCCACTGTAACCTAACAAGCATGTCATAAAATGCAGATGTGGTGGACTGAAAAGGCGCAGATAAGGCAGCCAAGCTATAAATGGCAACAGAACATGCCAAACATCCTTTTAAGGCAGATATTCCAGATTGGACTCATATAATAATTAGACTGGACACAATGATTTTCAGAAAATATTCAGAGAGTTAACCGAATACACAGCGAGTCACCTGTTACTGTGCAAGCAATGTACATGAGCATCACAGTCAATCACTCAGTATGTTTTACACGAGATAAAAAGAGCTTACATACAAACTACTCAAAACCAGAAATAATGATCATTACAAAAACAAAAGCAGCTGAGAGAGAGAAAAAAAAAGTCAGATTAAAGTAAATCTGCTGTCAGGAAATTTTGCAGGGAAAATAGCAAGCTTTCACAAACACACTCTATGACACAAACACATCTACTCCCACAGTTTGCTCAAACATTCTGTATTGCACCTCCACCTTTCATCATTAACCTAAATAGCTTTTTTGTGTGTGTATGTGTTTTTTTTTTTTAAATAAAGCCCAGGTATGTATATATGAGGCTAGATATTTGCTTGTGGTGCAACCAAACACATTAAAAAAAAAATACTACAACTGAAGGGGGAAGGAACCATACAAGTGTGAAGTTAGGTAAGTAGCGAGGGCCGTACTGGGTTTATGTGAACATAATGATGGTGAGGTGTGCATATGTGTGTGTGTGTGGTGTGGGGGTGGGGGGGGGTGTGCAGTGGTGTGGAGTGGATAGAAACTATTCAGCCAGCTGGAAGAAACTATTCAGCCAGCTGGAACATAGGGCATGGGGTAGTGGGGGGAGATACCAGTTTTATGGTTGAAAGATTTCAGTTTCACATGGGTAAACTATACATCTCGAATGAGACAGAAATAGCCTGGGATGAGACAGGTGATTTCAGAAGTGGAGGCGGGTGGATGAGTTGGGGAGGGGGGGGGGGGGGGCGGGCTAGGAAACTAATCAGGGTTAAAAAAAAAAACAGTTAAGGATAGAAGTAATCCCTCAACCTAGCAGATGCTGTAGGCAGACGTAAAGGGGGTAGGGGTGGAAGTGGAGGTGGCAATCTTAAAGAAGA